AGGTCCGGAGCAGGCTTCAGACTGCTCAGAGTCGGCAGAAAAGTTATGCCGACAAGCGTCGATCCGATTTGGAGTTCCAAGTCGGGGATATGGTTCTCCTGAAGGTGTCGCCTTGGAAAGGCGTCATTCGATTCAGGAAGCGGGGCAAGTTGGGCCGCGATTCATCGGACCGTTCAGGGTCGTAGCCCGGGTGGGCAGGGTGGCGTACAGGTTGGATCTGCCAGCCGAGCTCAGCCAGATCCACAACTTTCCATGTTTCTCAGTTGCGGAAGTGCTTAGTGGACGATTCAGCAGTAGTGCCTTTGGAGGATATTCAGGTTGATGACAGCCTGAATTACATTGAGCGCCCAGTCGCAATCCTCGACAGGAAGTCGAGGGATTTGAGGAACAAGAGAGTGGAATTAGTGAAGGTGCAGTGGCAGCACCGCAAGGGTTCAGAATGGACTTGGGAGCCAATGGACGAGATGATGGAGCATTACCCCGAGCTGTTTCAGGATCGAGCAGCAGACTTCGAGGACGAAGTCTAAAATAAGTGGGGGAGATTTGTAGCACCTGTTTCTGGTATGTAAATCTTATTCGAACATTTCCTATTTTAGCCTTGGACTCGGCGAGTCATAGGTCCGACTCGCCGAGTAGAGACGCGACCCAGGTCACGTTTTAAGTTGGCGACTCGGCGAGTCCATATCCTGGACTCGGCGAGTCGCCGCTGTTGGATGAAACCCTAAGTTTCAGGGGTTTGCACCCTATTTAAACGACTTAACTGCCCCAAGCCAGCCCCCATTCACCCTTAGAGCCCTGTATACCTCGTCCTAAGCCGTTCCTTGAGAGTTTGAGACTTTTGTGGGTGTTTTTGAAGGTTTTGAAGGAGGAAAGAAGTAGATCCAGAAGAAGGAAAGCCAACCAAGCAACTATTGTGTTCTTCCAGCAGTTCCTTTGAGGTATAACCCGTTTTCCCCATGATTCTATGCTTAAAACTTCATTTGGGTCTTTCTTGGTCAAATCCCCAAGCTTGTATGTGCATTATATGTCGTAATAAGATGTTTGGCCTCTGGATCTAGGCAAGATTGAGCTCCAGGAGCTCAGATCTGTTAGCTTTATGGCCCCATGTTGCTTGTTAGCCCAGATCTACCCTTTTAAGGCATTTTGAGCCCTAAAATCCATATTGGTGAATATCCACACGTAAAGTTGGAAACTTTACGTGTGATTTGTGTCCTAGAAGTCCAGATCTATGAATGGCATGCACTGAAATCGAGCAAATCGGTGTATTTGGTGGATGCATGGCAGCAACTTGGCGAGTCTGGTCGCGAGTCACCGAATTGGTCCCTTTATGATGTATCGAGTTGAGCCGTGAGTCACAGGGGGTGACTCGGTGAGTTGGGAGCTGAACTCACCCATGTTGGGACTCGGCGAGTTAATGCCCTGACTCGGCGAGTCCAAGGCAATCTTCATAGATCAAGAACAGACTCGGCGAGTTGTTCATACAACTCGGCGAATCTTAGCATTAGTGTTCTTCGGATGAAGATGAACTCGACGAGTTGTTCATACAACTCGGCGAGTAGGATGAAGGAGTTGAATGTCAGTTTAGAAGATGAACTCGTCGAGTCATAGCCTAACTCGACGAGTAGAATCAGGGACCCAGGACAATTGTCTAGACAGGGACTCGGCGAATGGAGATCCATCGGCGAGTCGGGTCAACTAAAAGTTGACTCCGATTTGACTTAGGGCTAGACCAGGGGTAAAATGGTCTTTTACCCAAAGGACAGTTAGCAGTGTATGATTAAGTATATTGTGGGAATTACAGCGGGGAGTTTCCGGAGCAGCAGCAGCAGTAGTAGGTGATCAATTCCCACACAGACCAGCAGCTATTTCGAGGTGAGTTTCCTTCCAGTAGTAACGGGTCTAAGGCACCAAGGTCGGCCCGTGTAGACGAGACGTTAGTATTAGAGTGTGGGCCGAGCCCGTATCTCTTAGTTGAGTTGATTATGATATATGCCAGTATGATAGAATTATTTACACTTGTTGTCTGTGTGATACTTGTATGATATGAGTTGGCGGTTGAGTGTGGGCAAGGCCCGTATCTCTCCGAGAGTGGAGTGTGGGCTAGGCCCGTATCTCCCAGATAACGAAGTGTGGGCAGGACCCGTATCTTCACGAGTGTGGGCGAGGCCTGTATCTCCCAGAAAGCGAAGTGTGGGCGGGGCCCGTATCTTCACGAGTGTGCGCGTGGCCCGTATCTCCTAATTGAATGTTGTTTGTTATATACTTGCATGGTATGGGGTATTATGGGGGAACTCACTAAGCTTTGTGCTTACGGTTTCAGTTTTGGTTTCAGGTACCTCCTCAGCTAAGGGAAAGGAGCCGGCGCGGTAGGAGCATGTCACACACACACTCTCCGGTTTCCGCATTTACGAGCTTTTCTGGGATTGATAGTGATTAGTTGTATGTTTTGGTTTTCAGACATGATTCAGTTTATATTATGGATGATCGAATGATGTTTTAGTTATTAATATTTTCTAAAGTAACGTTTTTAAACAAAAATATTTTGATGTGAAAATTGGGTCGTTACAAAAACATAAAGCCTGAATTCAAAAAGATGATCGAGGAAGATAATATGCAAACATCAAATGAAGGATTCTTTTCAAATCAAAGTATAGTTGAAAACAATCTTACAAAGAATTCATATAAATTTCAACATCAAAAATCAAAAAGAGTATGGGTTGAAAAATCAAAAGTTGAAAATGTGTTTAAAAAACACGAAGGTGTTAAAACAGAAGTTAAAGCAATCAATAAAGCAATAAAATTGAATTCAAAGGAATTTAAAGCTCAAGTTGAAAATTTTTCAAAAGAAAATAATATTTCGAAACGTTAAGCGAGAAAAACAATTTTTTGGCAAACTGTTGAGCCATCAAAAATGAGATCAACAAATTTTTCAAAAAGACGAAAAGTTTTTAAAGAAAAATCAAAGTTTAAAATTTTTGAAAAGAAAAATGCTTCGTTTTCAAATAATGAATCAAAAGTTTCAAATGAAACAAAAACTACAATACCAAATTTTTTTTCTTCAGAAAAAGGTTGCAACATAGAATTCAAAGTCACAAATTAAAACATCTTATCATGAATCATATATTTCAAAACCAAAAATTGATTATGTTCCAAATTCAGCAAACTGTTATAATCCTTTGAAGAAACAAGCTGACAAAGTCTCATATGCAAAGGGAATAACAACAAAGAGAAATATTGATCATTGGTTGGAAGGAAAAGGAAAAATATACCAATCAAGTAAGTTTTCGAAAGAACAGATACATGAAGCATATAACAAATATGCCAATCCTTCAACGAATGGTAGTTCATCATCCAAAGAGTCAAATATATCAATTAAAGCTTGGCAGCCGGTCATAAAAGCAAAAAGTGAAAAATCACAAACTCAAGAAGAGAAGGGTGTAATTAGTGAACATTTGAAAATAATAAAAACTCATATATCTGACTCTTCGAATGAAAATGTTAACTTTCTTGACAGTTTCAAAACCAAAGTTTGTGATTGGGTTAATGGTTGTACTTTACAATTGAAACACAAACCTAATATGAATGAACCCAATAAAGATTGGGTACCTAAATTTTTCCAATGATTGCAGGTACTTTGTGACGAGCAATATGATAACAAATGGTATATTGATAGCAGTTGCTCACGTCACATGACTGGGAAGAAGGAAAACTTGCGTGATTTTTGAAGTCTAGAAAATGGAGGAGTGGTTAAGTTTGGCAATAATCACAAATGCAAAGTCAAGGGTTATGGAAAGATAACAAATGGAAATTTCACTATCAACAGAGTTGCATTTGTTGAAGGTTTACAACACAATTTGATAAGTGTTTCACAACTTGTTGTGGGCACTGGAAATCAAGTTCTTTTTAATGAACAAGGAAGTGTCATTTCGAATGTTAAGACAAAGGAGGTTTTACTTAAGTCAAAAAGAAAAGGTGATATGTTTACATTGGATATTGTTCCTATTGTAGGCAAACCTGCTGTGTGTTTACTTTAGAAGGCTGTTGCCGATGTTAGCTGGTTATGGCACAGGAGGTTATCACATCTCAATTTTCGAAACATCAACAAACTTGTCATACAAGATCTGGTAAGAGGTTTACCCATTCTTAAATATGATAATGACAGTTTGTGTGCAGCTTGTGAAGTAGGAAAACAACACAAACAAGGTCATCCTATCACAATAGATTCGAAGATTGTTGAACCCCTCGAACTCTTGCATATTGATTTATGTGGTCCTTCAACAGTTGCTACTCTTAACAAGAAAAGGTACATTTTGGTAATTGTAGATGATTTTTCAAGATTTACGTGGGTTTATTTTCTCAGGTTAAAATCCGAAGTTCCACAAATAATGATTGATTTTATCAAGAAAATGGAAGTTTCATTGAAAAAGACAGTTCGAAAAATTAAAAGTGATCATGGAACTGAATTCAAAAATCATGTCTTTGATTCATTTCTGGTGGAAAAAGGAATTTCGCATAATTTTTCATCTCCTTATACACCACAACAAAATGGTGTAGTTGAGAGAAGAAATCGATCATTATGTGAAGCTGCAAGAACAATGTTGGCTTATTCAAATTTACGTCAATATCTTTAGGCTGAAGCTGTTTCAACTGCTTGTTTTACTCAAAATCGATCATTCATTCATCGACGGTTTGATGTTACTCCTTATGAAATCATCAATAATCGAAAACCTAATGTCAAATTTTTTAATGTTTTTGGATGCAGGTGTTTCATAATGAATCTTAAGGATAATATTTCGAAGTTTCAAACAAAAGTAGATGAAGGAATTTTCTTGGGATATTCACACAATTCAGTTGCTTATAGAGTGTTAAAGAAGCGAACTCGCAAAGTGGAAGAAACTTTTAATTTGACGTTTGATGATCATTACCTTAAAAAGTCTAATCATAAATTTGCGAATTATCCTATTTTGCAAAATTCTTCAAATATAGATGATTTAATTGATATGGATGATGTTAATTATGATTCGATTTTTGGTATTTCAGATCAAGCAGTTGATGCAGAAAGAAATGCAACTGATAATCAAACATCAGAAAATTCGAAGCATCACAATGATCCAATTTCGAATTTGAATCTAAACCCAAATGAAAAAGCTGATGATCCAGTGGAGGGGGAGCACTTGGATTCAAATAGTTTTGTTGAGGGGGAGCATTATAGTGCAAGATATAACATGTCAACAAATGTTAATATCGAAGAGGAGCCATTTCTTGAAGAAGAGCCGATCAATGAACCAGAGAAAAATATCGAAACGGAGTCAATCATTGAGGGGGAGCCTATACTTAAGAATGATGAAAATCATGAAGAAGAAAATTTTGATGATGCTAATGACTCAATTTCCATAATTGGATCAGAAACAGATGTAATGTTCCAAGATGCACTTTTGGATTTTGATCCTAATTATCCACCATTGGATAAACGGACAAGAAATCATCCAAAAGATCGAATTCTTGGTGATCCACAAGCAGGTATAATGACAAGGGCACAACTTCATGCAAGAAATGAGGTACTGAATACTCCTCAAGAGTTATGCATGTTTAATGTTTTTATTTCCAAAATTGAACCAAAGACAGTTAAGGTTGCAATGGAACACTCTGATTTGGGTTGTTTCTATGCAAGCTGAATTGTCTGAATTTGAAAGAAACAAGGTTTGGAGACTAATTCCAAAACCTGTTGATGTGTCAATTGTTGGACTCAAATGGATTTATAAAAACAAAACTGACAAAGATGGAAACATTATTCGAAATAAGGCTAGACTTGTTGTTAAAGGATATTCTCAACAAGAAGGAATTGATTACGAAGAAACATTTGCCCCTGTTGCAAGACTCGAGGCTGTTCGTATTTTTCTGGCTTTTGCAGCTCATAAAGATTTTGATGTCTATCAAATGGATGTAAAATATGCATTCTTAAATGGAGAACTCGAAGAAACTGTTTATGTTGAACAACCTACAGGTTTTATAAACACAGAACATCCTGATCATGTTTATATTTTAGATAAAGGTGTATATGGGTTAAAACAAGCACCAAGAGCATGGTATGCAACTTTAACATCCTTTTTGAAACAATCTAAATTTAAACAAGGATCAGTTGATCCCACTTTATTTCGAAAGAAAATTGGGAATCATTTGATGCTTGTTCAAATTTATGTTGATGATATATTTTTTGGCTCAACTGACCCTGCTTTATCTAAAGAATTCGAAGATCTGATGAAAAGCAAATTTGAAATGAGTATGATGGGCAAAATTAATAACTTTTTGGGTTTGAATATTCGTCAAAACAGGGAAGGCATCTTCATTAATCGGGAGAAATATATGAAGAATTTGTTAGAAAAGTTTGGAATGACGAATAGCACAAGGTTACGAATACCAATGGCAACGGGCATAAAGCTAACTACTTCGTTAGATAAATCAGCTGTTGATATTACTTTGTATCGAAGCATGATTGGGTCTTTATTGTATTTAACTGCAAGTAGACGTGATATTATGTATTTTGTTTGTAATTGTGCAAGGTATCAATCAAATCCACGTGAACCACATCTCACTGCAGTAAAGAATATTTTCCGATATTTGAAAGGCACTACTTCGTTAGGATTGTGGTATCCTTCGAAAACAGGGTTCTTTGTACAAGCCTATTCGGATGCAGATCTTGGAGGATGCAGTCTTGATCGTAAAAGCACAACTGGTGGATGTCAATTGCTAGATGGAAAGTTGGTCAGTTGGCAATCGAAGAAACAAACATGTGTTTCCATCTCAACTGCTGAAGCTAAATATGTTGCTGCAGCTGCGTGTACATCACAAATAATTTGGATTCAAAGTCAATTAAGAGATTATGCAATTAATATGAAAAAGATTCCTTTATATTGTGATTCACAAAGTGCAATAAGAATTTGTCATAATCCTGTGCAGCATTCGAAGACCAAGCACATTGCTCTTCGATATCATTTCATCAAAGATCATGTTGAAGAAGGAAATATTGAAGTTCATTTTGTAAAAACAACGAAACAATTGGCAGATATTTTTACAAAAGCTTTGGATGAAAAATCGTTTCTTCGTATCTTAGATGGATTGGGAATGATGGATGGAAATTCACTTCAATCTGATAAAAGCGAAGAGTGATGGGTCTGAATCATTTGGTGTATGGACGGAAAAGGTGCTTTAGTGTTCAGAGGATACTGTTCATGGTCAACGCTTCGAACGCTTCGCATTCGGAAGTTTTTGAAATAAACAATCAGAGGTTATTGTTCAAGTTAATGGTTTGCATGCTTCGTATTTGTCCACATTTCAACTAAGGTTAGATTTGTAGTTTCTTTATTTTTTTTTGAAAAACCTGAAAAATCAAAAATATTTTCTTTTATTGAAAAATTAAAAATTCAAAAAGATTTTGTTTCAGTTTGTCCTTAATTTTTTTTTTGAAAAAAAAAATTATTACAAAAATACCAAAAATATTTTTCATTTTTTTAGTTTTAACATGTGTGTTGTGAGTTTTGTCAAGTTTCAAATACGAAGGATTCATGCGTCTGGTTTTGAAGGAAAGGTATGATCTCGATAAATTTTGGATTAGTTAGGATGTCCCTAGAAGCATGCTGCTGCATGTTGTCTCAAGCCTCGAATGATTCTATGTATGAGAGATGAAAGCCTTGATGAAATTATCTCATGAAAATTTCTACCCAACAAGGCTTGTATTTGCATAAATCAACAAGAGCTACCTTACTCTTCTCAAATGAGTTAAGAGTTTTCTGTTTTGTCCAATTTAACAGAGGTACCCTTCGATTTTTAACCAATCTTTTTAAACCAAACAATTCTTACATTCCAAATATTCGAAGATTTGTCCTTGAGGTCTTTGATCAAACCAATCAAAACTTAGACAAATCACAAATCTGTGTTTATGATCTAATATCATGAGTCCGTGATAATAGTGAAACCCAAAATATCATAAACCTTAAGGAATTGACGGGGAACCATGTTCCAGATCTTACGAAACATTTGTTTCAGTACCTTTTATACTCCAAATCATATTCATTTCTTTTGAGTGATCTTAATCAAACATTCGAAAACTACGATGTTTGTTCCCAACAAGATCCAGCATAAATGTTTTTTTTTATGAATATGATTTCCGTGTGAGTATATTTTCAAAATACTTGTTACTTTGAATATCATTCGCAACCAAGTTGTCACTGACTACACTGGTTATGCAACTAATTTTTTTTTACAATTTCTCACCTTATTTTGAGGTTGATATGTAACGAAATTTTCGAAGACACCCATTTGACCTATAAAAGAAAACCTTTCGAAACTTCTCTACAAGTTATCGATTTTAATTCACGGGAAACCAAACAAGATGTTAATTATCTCTCTTGATAATTTTCGAAGATATCTTTTCCTGGGATAAAATTGTTTTTGTGTCAAAAAGAAATTGTTGACATCACAAGTTTTCAAAAGTTTTTTTTATTGTTTCTCATCTAATTTCTTTTGGAACACAGCACACACGAAATCCTTGAGGTTTGAGTAACAACAACTTACACTGACGATTTCGAAATTCTGGCAAATGACTTCGCTTTTTTAAAAACCTCAAAGTGAAAGAGCCTGACCTCTATTCCGAAGGCATCCAACGGTTACAATTCTTTTGGGGAATACCAAACAGTCCTATCTGTTGATGTCGCATGGTGTATGATAAGCGTGAACGGCGTGTTGACAGTTACGATTGTTACTTTTTGATGAGTACGTTCCGTTTTTCAAGGTGTCATGTCAGCAAGCATTTAATGCATCCCGCTTCAAATTCAAAATTCTAGGGTTACATATAAAAGGGAAAATCAGAACTCATTCACACTTTAAGCGATCAAACTCTCTGAAATACAAAATTCTCTGTGCAATTGATCTTCTTCATAAGTTTTTTACTCAAATCATCATCAATGGTGACTACTTCATCACCAACTACAGACGAAATAATTAGTGTTCTGATTCTAAAGATCCAGGGTTCCAACTATCAAGTCGAATCGGATTTGTCAAAGTATCCGGAAGAATTTCACATGCTTGTGGTTGCTTTACAGAATTCAGTTCTGTCTAAAGCAATGTTTGATTCATTTGCTACTCTGGTTGTCAAAGGCGGGTTCTACTGCATCATACAACAAGGAGATAGGTTGTGTGGAATTCACAATGGTTAATGATACGAGAATTAGGGTCTCCAAGCGGTTATTTTGCAAGATTTTGGGAATTCCGAATTTTGGTCCTTATGATGAACTTTCTTCTTCACAAGTGGTGTTCATGTTCAACGGATGGGTCATCAACCTCCATTGAAGCGAATCAGTGATTTCAAGAAGTCGGGGTTACCATCAATCTGGAATTTTTTATTTGGCATCTTTCTTCGATGTCTTACTGGAAGAACTGTGGGGCTTGATAAAGGACAGATGGAGGTGTATGCATTGATAGCCGGGTTGTACTATGATTTGCAAGTCGATTACTCTGAACAATTATGGACAGAGTTCTTAACAAGCATTTCGAAGACAAGTGCTAAGCAGGGGATTTCTTGTGCACGATATTGGAGTCTGATAGTCCAATATGTCTATCAGAAGGAAAAAATCAAAGTTCCGGAATACGAAGACAAAGCAGTTTTCCACATGTATGGTAGTCCGAAGGAGGTGCATGATGATCCAGCTATCTTTACCACAGTTGCTCGCATTCCGGATGCAATTCTCAAGAAGGTGGATCCCACGAATAATGTGTTGGTGTCATATTTGCAATCTATTGACACAACCGTTGTTACTGGGATGTTACAGCAAGAAGAGAAGAAGAAGTCGAAGAAATCAAAGAAGATAGAGGGTGAGTCTTTGGAAAAAGGGGTGAAAGCAGAACAAAAGAATCAAGAGCTAATAGTTACATCTCGAACTGTCGAAGAGGTGTCTCCTGTTTTAACTTCAGTGGCTGATACACTGGTTATTGAAGCCTCTCCATCAAAAGAAATGATTCCTTCGAAGATGGGGGTTTTTCGAAGAATAAAAATCAAGAGAAAATCTCAGTTGGTAAAGAAAACACAGGTTATCATCAAGGGGTTACCGTTCGAGAAATTCCAGCTATGGTGTCTCCATCTTCTAAGAAACAAAGGGCTGCAGATATGGCAAAATTTTAAGGAAAACCCAACGTATAGAAGAAGTGGATCAAGTTCCTGAGACTCCTTAAGATGAAATTCCTAAATAAGTAGAGATTCTTCAGTCTACTGAAATTTCGAAGCCTGATGATATAAATCTCATTGAACCAATATCTTTACCTCAGGTTACTTCCACAACTGATTCTCCAACATTCCAATTTATTATGGATCAACCTTTCACCACTATATTCTCAACACAATCAACCGATCCACCAAATCCATCATTACCTGTTGCTGAAACCATGGCTGTTGATGAGGAAACTGATAACGAAGGATTTGGAGGAACATTCGAAACTCTTTCCTTTGATAAAGCTGAAGAAGATTTCCCTGACCATATGCTGATGATGATGAAGTAGTTCAAGATATTGAATTAAAAATTAAATTCTATCTTGCAATCTCAAGCGGATGTGGGAAGTGCTGGAATTACTATCATGGAAGTTGATTCCATAATGAAGGAAATGGAAAGCAGGATGATTTCGAAGGCATCAGGGTTAATACGTGATTCTGAAAGCCGCATTCTTGAGAAAACTGATCAGAATGATAGTTCTACAGAGAATAGAATCAATTCTCTGAGATCTGATTTTATGAAGGAAGTGAAGGATTTGAAGCCTGTCACGAAGGAGCGTCATGTATTCTTCGTACAGGAAGTTAAGAAGGTTAGAGAAGACGTTAATATGCAAATTCGTGAACTTCGTGAAACAATGACGAAGGAGGTTCAGCATATTCAACAAGGGTATGAATCAGCACATCAGAAGATCGACATTATTTGTGATGCAGTTGTTAAGTGTGTTCAGATGTTCGAACAAGTCAATCCTCAGATGATCTCTCTTTCAGCCACAGAAGAACAACATTTTGGAGAGTTGGTGAAACTACTGAAAGAACTCCAAGACATATCTTTGAAAGTTTCTTCACCAATTATTTCTCAAGAATTTCTTTCTCAGAAATTCATTCATTTCGAAGCCATTCTACAAAAACACCTTGCTCCATTGCTTCGAATTTCAAGTCTTTTGCCACACGTATCAGATGCCCCACCTGCTATCACAGGGGTGCAAGGGGGAGAAAAGGTTGGTCAAGCAAAGGCTAGGGAACATGAGAAGAAAACTGAAGATATGAAGGTGGTAGGAAAGGTTTATCCTTCGAAAGGTTTTGTTAAGCCAACAATTGTTTCAGCTGCTCCAGTTATTTCAACTGTGACTACAACTGTTCCAGTTTCAAGACCTATTGCAAAAGGGATTGTAATTGTGAATCAAAGTGATGTCTCTTTGTCAAAGAATGTAGCTCCTTTGAATGATAAAGACAAGGGAAAAGGAGTTTTAGTTGAGAAATCTAACAAAGAGAAGAAAGCTGAGGTGGCAGCTGAAACTGAAAGAATGAGGCAAGTTCAAAGTATAATGCGACAAAGAGCTTTAGAAGGTTCGAATGTTGATAAGGGGGATCCTTCAAAAATGTAAAATTACGAAACAATAGAATCCAGGGTGATGTTCAATCAAATGTATTCTTTTGAAAAGATTCCGAAGAAGCGCTTTGTGGTGACAAATACTGATTTTGGTCAACTTGATTTTCCAATCAACGAAATGATGTTCATTATGCCACAGTTCAAGGCTGAGACAAACTCTATGGATACCGAAGAGGGAAAGAAGTTGAAAATACGTTTTCATGCAGTATTAGCAAAGGCTCAAGAAGAAGTTTGGTTCTTGGAGAAAATTAAGAAGGTGATATCTATAAAAATGGATGTCATTTTCGAAGAGAAGTTACAAAATGTAAAATATGTTGTGGCAAGGGCGAGTGGAAAGATACAAGAGTTTACTGTGGTGGACTTTCCATTGATGAATAGTTATGATCTTATCAATGTTGCCCTGATACTTAAAGACAAGTCATTCTCTTTTCTACAAGATACAGAACCAGATGTTTTCAGTCTTGGGTGTAGGCATATAAAAATATTCTTGGAGAATTATTTTGAGTGCTTAGCTCAAACTGATGTTGAACTTGCACCAATGGCTCCTACGAAGAAGCAGGTTGAGTTGAAAAAATATGAAGATGGTGAAATTTGTTTAAAGCCATTGGGGATTGTCTTTGCAGGAATGGATAAAGCTGGAAAAGCTAAAAGATTTTTGTTTCAAACTTCTGAAGTGGAGAGATATACAAATTCACAATACACGAACTTAATCGTTCGTATGAATCATTGCAAGAAAAACTCAGAAGGAGACAAGAAGGAGATAAAGAAAGTTATATCCTGGTATACAGAAATCTGAAGAGTGTTGATGTATGCCGTTCAATTACTAACTTCATGAAGACTTCGAACTTTATTCCAAAGGGGGAGATTGTTAGAGTTTAAATGTTGTAATATGTCGAAGTGTTAGTTGTTACGAAGAGTCTTTAGTCTTCGTATGAAGATTCTTCAGAAGTAATGTTATTTTTACTAAGGCATTATAATGAATAGTCTTAATGTCTAGTCCTTAGTATTTTTGTTATGCTTTTGTACTCCTATAAATAGGGGTCTGTACTAAGTGAATAAAGACTTTTCACTAAGACTTTACAGAATCTTCTTTGTATTCTGTAAAATCAAGAGCATAATATGGGCTGAACCAAGATTATATTTACTCTCATGTTCATCGTTTCTCTTCTTTTTGAATTCTTACATAAATTGTTCTTAAACTCGATTACAAATCGCATCATAACATATTCTATAAGTAGCAAGAATTTGATATTCTTACACTTGTGATAAGGATTGGGAGTTGTGAAATGAGTGTGATTGGAAATGTATTCATTTGATATATTTCACAAATTAAGGACCATAGGTAAACATTGTGTGCATGCTAAGAGCATAGGACATGTGTGGTAATAATTCAAATAAGAAGTTGATTACCCGAAACAACAAATAATGAGTAATCGATATGGTGATAAATAAAAGGTGTTTTATTTATACTCAAAGGTTTGAGGCCATATGGGATTAGTATTATCTTGTGTTTCACTTTGCATGTTTTGACTTCCTGAATAATTTAATTGGTTAAGAACAGTCAAATTATTCGAACGGGCCACAGTCGTTCATACGTTGGAAGTAGGTATGAATGAAGACTGTCGTGAATTGGTGTGTGGATTGTCTAAAGAGTATTAGACATAAGCAAATGTTTGCTGCAACGTTCATGAGTGCTTATAAATATGATTTGAGCATTGGATTAAACCCACGCTCACATGGATCACTTCATGGATTTTTTATCACGAGTGATTAGTGAGACGATAACATCTTATATTCTTGAAACCGAGATGTGTGAGTTGTATCTTGCGAGTCGGTTGCACATTGATAATATGTAAACGCACTAGTAACTTGGTGTTATAAAACATATTGTTGTGTGTAATTTGATGAGTGAGTGCAAGCGAGCATTGAGTCAAAGTTTATCTGTTCCTTTTATCCAAAGTAGGATAGAAGCGATATCTGTGGGCCCCTCGATGATTTAGTGATGGCACCTAAGCCCTTGGCCAAGCCGGGACTAAATTGATGTGTTCAATTGTAGTCTGTTGTCAGTCGTCATAAATCTGAATTCAGGAAACTACACATAGACAGAGAGAATGATTTAGATCCATGTCTTAGTCTATACGATATCTAGAATGGAGGAATATATGATCCCTTATCTAAAGGACACGCGTATCTGATAAGATCAGAGGGTGATAGCGGCTTTAGAAAGCTATGATTGCAGATCAGGATCTGAAGTCATACGCAGAATAGTTATTAGACTTATCGAAGTGGGTGACTGTTTGATTAGTGTCAAAGTCCATAACTATTTTGGTATGTACTTGACCCGATGGTGCATGGTCCTTTTGGGTTGCCTTCACCAAAGCAACTTGATAGGATGAATTATGGAGAGAAAGGATTAAATATGATTTATTAATATATTATGAGAATAATATATATTAAAGGAGAAATAATATTGTTTAATTATTATTAGTCAAGAATTAATAAGAATTAAGTTTGTGGCTAAAAGACTTAATTAAACTTAAGGGACTAGAACTGTCAATTGTGTGATAGTTGAATAATGGGCTAATGGACACCATATTAAAGGGGTGGACGAATTCTATGGGGAAACCCATTAGAAATCGTCCAAAGGCCTTTAAGAAAGGGTTTCATGGGTTGCTTAGCGCCTAAGCATCCAAATTAGGGTTTCCTTGTTAGATAACCCTAATAGCCTCACTATTTAAGGAACCCTTAAGCCCGAAAAACGTGGTGAAATAATTGGTTAGGGTTTCCACACGTTTTGGGCAGCCTCCTTCTCTTCTCTTCTTCATCCTCTTGCTTTTGGTGTTTGTGAACCATTAGAGGAGTGACATTTGTGACTCTAAGCTTTCTAAAGTCAATACAAGAAGGATTTGAGATTGTTATTGCTACATAACAATCAAGGTATGATCTAAACCCTAATTCATATGTTATATTGATTATCATATATTAGATCTAGGGTTTGAAGTCTTGGATGAATTGCATGTACAGTAGAGAAACCTAGATCCAAGAATTAGGGTTTGTATGAGAACATAGGATGTTCTTATGGCTAAAACCCATCAATTACGTCATGAATATCAATGATATTGACAGTCGGCTAATTTCTGTGTTATGCTTTGTTCAAATACTTTCATCATACTTTCGTTGGGGTCTATCTGAAACTCACTCTAGTCAAGTTATTGGACTAGAGTAATTTAGCTCAGGGATCATTCCCAATTCTCTTTCAAAGGTTGGATCATGTTATTTACCAACCGATGGTACCCTGGTTTGAACGTCAAACATCTTGAGACCATACTATGAACTTACTTTTACTCTGTACTAGGACTGCATCATAGGGATATAGGTCAAACCCTTGAAAACATACTTCTACTCTTTACATGAATGATCGAAATACATCTAGGTTCAACCATAATAGCTCACGAATTCATTTTCTTTCCGTATAACAGAATCATGTCGTCATCTGGAAATAGTCAGGCGAACAATGAAACCCCTATCCTTCATATCAACGCCACTACATTACAAGCCGCGGTAACAGCTACGTTGACAGCTTTCCTTGCACACCTCAACTCTGACAACACAAACAAGACCGACAAAGGAGTTGACGATTCCGATCATCGTACCGATCCGGGTAGCCAACAAATAGTAACAGTCACGGACTTGCAAAGCCGTAAAACCGAGAAGAAGAAACGAAAGCGCCAAGCCCAAAAGGAGCGCAAGCGATCCTAAAGACTTGCCATGCAACAGCAACAAGTGGCAACTCCTACCATTTCAGCTTCGATCAGACCATATGAGGGAAAACTTCTGAAGTGTAACAAGTGTAATTTTTATCACAACGGGGCTTGTCATGAAATGCAATGCTGCAATTGC